ACAAATCACTTGACGAGTCGTAAACTCGACCTGAATAAATCTAGAATTAAATCTAGAGTTCTCAAATTTAGCCCCTTTCTAAGGTTCTGAAATCTGATTCGAGCATCCTTACTGATGACATCATACTGACTATAGACATAATAATTTGAAGTGGATCAATAAAGCACACATATCTCTTAACGAGTTGCTAAACATGACTGGGAAATACTGACATTAAATCCTGAGTATACTGACTACTGATCCTGAACATGATTCGAGCATCTTAACTAAGTCATAACTGAGGTATTTCTGAGCATAGACATAGTAATTTGTCTATAATTTAAAACATGAATCAGCACTTACATGTAGTCGGCGAGGCGTACGCATGACGTGTTCAGGTTTTTTGAAAAATTTATGACTCGTGAAATTTTTCAGAGACGCAAAAACGTGCTCTGATACCATCTGTAACAACCAGCTATTTCATGAAATTCAGAGCGCGCTATTCACAAAATTTATCTAAATAAAAACATTTATTTTGCGAAATACTGATTCAGAGTGCTACCGTAAAATCTGACTTTATCTGAAAACCGTTATTTTAATTTAATAACAAACGGTTATAAAACAGAGTACCCGACTAGAGTCGGATCAAAAGCTGGTTTGGTAAACTGAAATAGTCCGTGGAAAACATAGTGTAGCCAAAACATGTTTAAACATATATACAAACTTCCTGAACCGATCGCCAGCTCACTCCTCGGCTCCGACCCTGGGACCTGAAAAACATGAATAATGTGGGGCGTGAGCACTAAATCCACTGTGCTCCGCAGAAACTCATACTGAGGTAAACAATAAACATAATTACAATATCATGATCCTGGCATATATAACTGAACTGAACTGAACTGAAACTGATACCGGTACTGAATAATCTGATACTGATCTCGTGATAAACATCACCTGACTGATAACTAAACATCTGCCAGCATAAAAATGTCGGACACCATGTGCACACTCTAGTGGGCAGACTAAGGCCACTAGAACCCAGAATGGACCGACGACCATTTCGAGCGGATACTGATAATACATACCTCAAACATGGTAGCGTAATTATAATCAATGTAAAACCCTGTCCGAGTCCCCACCTGAACTGCTGATCTGAAAATGTAAGTGCTGATTGCCTGCAAAACTGCGACATATGTAAACAATTACTAAGTACTATGCTCAGACTGATTAAAATAGCTGATAAGATGCTCGACTCGATCTGAATAATTAACTGGAACCATCTCAGGGTCTAACTTAACAGATAAGAAAACTGAACTGAACTGGTACTGCTAAACTGAACTGAACTGACTGCACATGACTGATCATGATTGAACTGAAAATTTAACTGACATACTGAACTGAACTGACTAACTGACTAGACTGAAACTATTGAACTGATAACTTAACTGATTACACTAAACTGATTGACTGGACCTAGAACTTAACTGAAAATGGAACTTGAACATGAACCGAAACTCGAAACATTAAAATATGGGGTGAACCGGTCCAACCGGTCTGAACCGGTCTGGCCGGACCGCCGGCCTGCTCTGGCCGGGCGGTCGGCCGCTGACTCGGACAATGGGCCTACCAAGGCCGCGTGCGCTGGCGCTACCTAAACTGGTCGTGGCATGCTGGTTGCAGGGCCTGTGGCCAAGCACGATGCACGGGCGCGCGCGCTAGCATGCGCTGGCGTGCGCGGTGAACTGCTGGCGTGCACAGGGCACTGCCAGTGGACTGCTATTGCAGGCAGACTGTACGCGACACCCCACGGCCATGCGCGCATGCTGTCTGTCCACACCGGCTGACTGATGACGGATCGTGTCTTTACTCTATTCCGGGTTGTGAATAAACGCGCACTAGGGCCTTCGTTTATCCACGATAGGTGTATCTAACAGACGCACTATCGGCCTTCTCCTAGACAATGTGACTTCAAGACGCTCTAATGGCCTTCTCTCCAACACTGTATGTAAACACGCACTAACGGCCTTGTTTAGACATACGTAAGAACATCAATTCCCCCTCAAGATTGGCTCACCAATTCAATACTCAATTCAAGACATTTAATATGATGAGGTACATGGGGTATTTATAGTTGCAAAATAAATCTAAGCCTAACTCTACTAGATCTCCTAAATCTTGCAAGAATAGAAATCCTAACACTAGAAAGCAA